TTGTCATTTTTTTAAAATTATATTTTTTTAAATGATTTTTGCTTGAATAGTTGCACAAATCCAATATGCCCTGTACTCCTGTCATACAAAATTATACAAAATTGTTAAATAACTTAAAAGTTAATGAAAGCAAATATTATAAAATATCAAATCAACACACACACACGCATACACCCACCCAAACAACACACATACAGTTACATGCACACATTTACAAAACCAGAACTCTAGCTGTCATGAAGTATTCTGTTCGTACACATACATGCATATGTATATGTACATATTAGTAGCTCGTTCGTTTGAGCCATTGAGCAAATTAGTTGGATCTTATTGATTAAGTAATAATAAGTAGTACACCTTTGATTTTCTAGTTGCTAGTTGCATGGTCTTGGTTTCCTTTATCTTTAACAGTTTAAAGTAGTTTTAATTTTCATCACAGCTAACGTCAATTTATTTATTTATTTTTGTTTTCTTTTTAACTATAATAACTATTTTTTTTATACTTTTTTATATTGAATTAATTTATAGAACTTTTTGCTGCCAATTATGGAACGCAATAAATGAAAAATAAACACAAAACATTTCAATCAGATAATATATTTTATTTCTGTTTTTTTTTTCTTTTTTGAATTTTGGGATTAAAATTAGTTTAGATAATATAGCTAGTATAGTATACTGTTATACAATTGAGTTTATGTTTAGTTTTTGAATTTTTTTTTTTCTCTTATTTTTTTTTGTTCTTTTATCACTATAACACAATTTACAATTTGTTTTAACATCAATTTAACATACACATAGCTTTGGGGATTTTCTCTCATGATTTATGTTTTCATGCCAGATGCTAATCTGTTCTACTATGTTTTTAAATCTAAGTAGAGGGGAAAAAAAAAAACATCATACAATATGTCTAAATATATATAGATATATATGTATATATAACCACATCAAATGTATAAGTAAGTACATTGCATGTAAATCTTATCAATTTAAACACTTTCAGTTGCATTATCAACCTAGAAAAAAAATTAAAAAAAAAAAAAAACACTCTCTCTTCCCACTTGATAATTTCCATATAAAGAGGGAAGTTTTTGTTGCTATTTGAATGCAAAGTTGCATGCATATATGTATCTGGATAGCCCAAGTCTCGGATATCAAAGGTACTCACTGCCCAGCGAGCGTTTGGCTTGAAGTTAACAACTGCAAATATGTAAATGCCTATTAGCAGGAGACGCCCTGCTTGGCCACCGTATACCAGGTGCTGACCTTTACCAGCGAGGGCGAGTCTGGTGTTTGGGGCAGCTCCGTGTTGCCGTGCCCGGCCAGCCCGTTGCTATCCACTGGCTGCACCACCAGGCCATTGGGCGGCGGCAACGGCGGCAACGGCGGGGCAGGTGGTGCAATCGGTGCAGGCGGTGCTGGCGTTGTTGCTGCCACAGCTGCTTTGGGCGCTGCAGCCGGCTGCTGCGCTGTTTGCTTACGCTGCTTGTGCTTGCTTTTACTCTTGGCCGGCTTGGGCGGTGCCTGCTGCTGCTGCTGCTGCTGGTGGTGGTGCTGGCCAGGGCCCTGGCCCAGCTGCTGGGGATGATGGAAGTGCATGGGCTGTGGCGTGTGCAGATCGCGACCCACCTGCGGCCCCACCTGCGGACAGCGAAAGCGTATGGCCAGCTCATTGGCCATGCTCAGCTCCGGCCAGCGCGGCCTAGATCCACGCGCATCCACTGGACCATGTGGATGGGGATGCTGATGTGGATGCTGATGGGGATGCTGGTGGAGATGCTGATGTGGATGTGGATGCTGATGATGACGCTGCCGACTCTTGCTGCGCTTGCGCTGTCGCGACTTTGAATGGGATTGGCGCAGGCGCAGCGTTGGCAATTGCCGCGAATGCAGCTCCGTTTGGGGTCGTTGGCAGTGCCGGCAAATGGCTTGATTGCGTCGAGAGATGCCCATCAGCGGCTGTTTGCCAGCTTCATAATCATCCTCATCGTAATCGTCTTCCTCCTCGTCATCAACATCGTCGTCGTCGTCGTCATCATCGTCGTCGCTGTCGTTGTCATCTTCATACTCATCCTCCTCCTGCTCCTCCTCCTGCTCCTCCTCCTCGTAGTCATCGATGACGTGCTTTTTCAGTGTTCGAGGCTTGTGATTAGTTTTGTAGTTGTTGTGGTTGTGGTTGCTAGTGCAGTTGGTTGTTGTTCTTGTTGTTGCTGTTGTTGTTGTTGTTGTTGTTGTGCTGGCGCCATCGATGTCAATGACATGACAGCACTTGGCTGCCGCCTGGTGTCTTGTGCTATGTATTTGTTGCATTTGTTGTTGTTGTTGTTGTTGTTTCATCTTGTAGTTTGACTTACGTTTCTCAGTTTCCATTTGCGGTTTGTTGTGCTGCTTTTGTTTTTGCTGTTGACTCCGGCTACGTCGCAGTCGCCGCACCGTATACTCATCGCCCTTGTCAGTCGGATATGGTCAGAATGCTGTATCAAAGACAGACATCGATCTGGATATGGCATCATCATTGCGGCACGCCTCCAAAAACTCCTCCAACGTCACAACGCCATCTCGATTAATGTCCATTTTCTGTGTGCGAAAGTGAAATTGCGTGTTGAATGCACATTAAAATGGAGCAGACTAGACTTTGAAATCTCTGAATAGATGCTAATTTTATGGAATGTGTGTTGGGCTCAAAGGCACAACAAAATTAACTCAACTTTTGTCAATTTCCAGAGCTTAACGGTATTAACTGCCCTGAGTGGCTAAGCTTGAATTTAATATGGGCCAGTGTGCTTTAAGGCTGCGCATAATAATGATAAATATCTGGCCATGTATGCGGCTAACTGTGCTTAGCCCCATTTGCCGCTTCCGTTGCCATTTGCAGCAGCTGGATAAAGGGCAAGCTGGATAGAGGCATTCAACAGGACCTCAGCCGCTAATGACAATGCGTGACTGGCAAGCAAAGCGAATAGAAAGATAGAGAGATAGCGACACAGAGAGAAAGAGAGAAAGAGAGAGAGATATCTTTGGACTAGACAGCCTGATGACTGTGTCCATTGCATGGGTCCGGCTGTCCAGCTGGCGAAATGGCCAACAAAGAAATACATAATTTGATTTGCATAATGCAGAGTAAATAAGCCGACAGTTTGAGGCGAGCGCAAATTGAAATTGCATAATTAACATAAGTAATGCGAGCATCTGTCGATGTCGAAGGAAAGGAACAGGAAATGGAACTTGAACTGGAGACGGTACTCGTAGTCGTACTCGTACTGGTACTCGTACTATAGGAATGGCTACGGCTCACTCACCTGAAAGATTTGCTCCACCTTGCCCTTAATCTTCTCCTCCTCGGGACACTCGTCCGGCAGTCGGCCCATTAGCTCGTATATGGCAGTCACAATGTCAGTCATTTCCTCCCTCGTAATGAAGCCGTCGCCATTGATGTCGTACAGCGAGAATGTCCAGCGCAGCTTCTCCTCGACGGAGCCGCGTGACAGTATCGAAAGTCCTTGAACGAAGTCCTGTTGTAAATGAAATGAAAAATATGTCAACATAAATACACATTACGCATTACGCATTACGCATTATGCATTACATATTCAGATACAGACACAGATACAGATATAGATACGGATGTGAAGACAGATACGGGACAGTCTAGACTCTGCGGGCAACGACAAAGAGAAATTGAAAATCTGTTTATAAAGAATTGCCCATAAGATGCGGCCGGCACTCGACTTAAGACTCGAGTGCCTGACCACAGCTGTCCACAGATAGCTGCAGCTGGAGACCACACGGACTAGCCGAAACGTAAGCTGCTGCTGAAGTGGACATTTATTTCAGTGATTCGTATGACAAATGTGACCAGATAAGAACTGGCAAGTGGAAAAAGTTCTACAACTACAGCAGTCTGAGAGGGAGAGGGAGAGCGAGAGTGAGAGGGACGGAGGGAGGCGCATTCAAGTTGAACAGCTCGCAACTAGAATACAGCTGAGAGCAGGTTTTGTGTTTTCCTTTACCCTCGAATTGCGCAGGTATAAGCATAGCCGCATCATGGGTCACATGGGATCAGACACAATCGATTTGATAATATTTGCATAGAATTTTATTCATAGACGTCTCAGAAAAGGAGTATCAGATCCACTCTTGCTGGTAACCCGTTACATTCAAAGGCAATTCGATCAACTTGCAGCTACAGGGTATCTCCTTGTCGCACCCTTCTCGTCGCCACTGCGAAACGTGTTTGGTTATTTGTATTTGCGAAACATTTGCAGCGGCCCATTAAGCCCCATTTGGACAAGTGCAGAGTTCGCTTGGCTAATTTATCAATGTGCAGGAACGTGACAGAGCAAACCTACAAAAAAAGAGAAAAAAAGGAAGAGAAAAAATCGTTGCCTACTTGCGGGCGTTGCAGCCAGAGACGCTGACAAATGCGTGCAGCCAGAGGCACGCGTATAAAACCCTTTGGATTTCGTTCTTTAAGCTGAATTCCTAAATGAGTAAAGTCATGAGGACAAGTGAAAGAAGATTGGGAAGTACCCTTCCAGCAGATACACTACTGCCAGCTAGCTATTTTTTATATGCATAGATTTAGTAAATTTGCAAATATTTTTGCTAAGACACACTGTTTTAACCAATTTATAGTTACCATAGTTGTATTTTAGTATTTAGGACATGTAATATAACATACATATGTACCTTTAGTGTAAATATAAACAGCGCACATTTCGGAGCACTGGGACTACTATTTACATTAGTTTCCGCTTCACACTCCTAAAGATGAAACAAAGATATGTATATTTGCCAAGGGATAATCATTGCTCCTCTTTAAAATAGGTTTGTTGCCAATTTCTGCAAAAAAAGTTATCCAAAGTGTTTGTGTTTTGTGTATTCATCAAAGTCCCTTCATTATCATCAAAGTAGGCTACGCAAACTTKAAACATTTACTACTTAGAACAGAMTTGTAATTCCCAAGTTGTTCTAGCTTTCACAGAGTGTCAAGGCATCGAGAACGAAGCAGTTGTCGGAGTTGAAGTTGCTCACAGAGCGACTTCTTCATCAATTTTGAACAAATAATAATTACATCCACATTTCCAGTAGGGCATAGGTTTCTGGTTA